ATAATATCTATTAAAAATAATATGTATATATATATATTATTTATAATATAATTTATAATATATATATATCGTAGATATGTATATATGTGTTTTATTAATTATAAATAATTTTATTTTTAATATATATATATATATGCATTAGTTATAATATACATATATATTGTAGTTCTATGTATATGTATTTTATTAATTACAAATAATTTTATTTTATATATATATATATATATATGAATTTATATGTATATAAATTAATTTAAATAAATTATATAATTTATTTTTGTTTAAAATGATGATGTGTCATAATTTTGATGATGTGTACATAATTTGGAAGCCAAGTCATTGCCACATCATCATTTTTATTTGAGTTGGCAGACGCGGGAGGTTTTCGGTGAATTATTAACAAGTTTGGGGTTTTATTGGTTAATCATACCAAGTATAGGATTTAATTGGTAAGCAAAAAAGTATAGGGTTTTTTCGTTGACCTGGGAATAGTACAGGGTTTTTATGGCGATTTCCCCTTATATGAAACATGAAGTAGTTTTTTTTATGTCTCTTTCAGACATCAACCTTTGTTCTCTTTTTCTGTTTTCTGTTCAGTGCCATAATCAGACTGTAATCAATGCCAAACGAATCCTTAAAACAGCTGAGTTGAAACTCAATTAAAATTTAAAGTAATTATCGAAAAGGAAAGAATCTCCCTCAAATGGAACCGAATATTTATCACAGAAATTATAATATTATACATACCTAGCATACCAGGAACAAAATTGTTGCCTAGATGTATGTTTTTTTTTTTTTAACAAGAATAGCATCGTTGTATGATGCTAATAATCTCGTGTTACAGATGTTAAAACGCTGAGATTTTACCTCTAGATTCTCAGAGAGAATCATCGAGCAAGAATATCTCTCCGTTGAAATCGGAATCTATGCCCTCTCTCCCCTTGAACTCGTCCAGACCCACGGCCTTTTCGATCGATAGATCGTTGATAAACGCAAAGTCGTCTTCTAAGAAAGTTCTGCTCTTGCGGATGATGAGCTTTCGAGTCGTGCTTTTCTCTTTTGCTGTCTCTGCAGCTTCCTCGGCCACTTCTATCGGTACCACCTTACTCGAGATCTTGCTCGAGTTTCTCAACCTGGATGGCAAGCTTTTGTTCCTCTTGATACCATTCTTGCTATCATTGATCATGCTGTCCTTGTCGGTATCGCTCTTCTTGCTGTTTCTGCTGCTGTTACTTATTGTTCGTTTCAGTTCCCGAATCTTTGAGTTTTTAGGTAAGGGACCGTTGAAGACGAGCTTTCTCCTGCACCCTTCCTTGAAATCCAACTTTCTCAAGTGAAGTTGTTGTCTCATGGATCTGGGAGAGGTTCCAGATGAAGTTTTGGCTCCCAGTGATTTCTTTTTCCGTGGAGACATGGAGAAATGTTTCAATATATCCTCCGGTGTCCAATCAAATATCTGTTCAAATGGCCAGAAAAGCGGCTCCACGACATTCCTCTTCTTCGAATCCAAAACCTCCGAGTCCTCCACCGAAGAAGATTCTGTAGTTATATTAGGATCAGTAGAGCTCTCTGATTCTGAGTTCGTGCCCGAAGACGCTGAAAAGTTAACTTTCTCTTCTTCTGTAGTCTGAGAAGAGGAATCAAGACTAGAAGAGTTCGAGTTTGAGTTTGATGAATCTGATTGTTCAGACAAGTTCTTGGAACAAGTCTTGTTGCCTCCAGGACAATGCGTGGACTGTTTCCCGCGACCTGTTCCCACAGGATTCCCATCTGAAGTTCTGATCTTTCCTACCTTTGAAGCCTCCTTCTTAGCGTCTTCGTCTTTCTCCTTGACGTTCCAAGAGACCGAGCAATCCAGCTTCTTTCTCCTGCGGTCTTTTATGGAATTGGCTCCTAGATTCAGAGAAGGCGAAGAATTCGCCAAGTTTGATAGCCAGGAGACAACACTTTCATCCACCGAGAAATGAAACGACACAGACAACCTGTGTTCCTCGAGAAACGACGTGGGAGATGCACAATCTGACGATAACCATATCGAATCACTGTCGTCAAAGCATCTCAGCTTGCTAAACTTCTGCTTCTCGTGACCATCGATCTTTCCTCGCCTTGGTCGGGGCGAAACACCAGCAGATTCGACGGTATTCTTCTTTGTCGGTATCCTCATGGATTCGAAGTTAGCGCCCGTGGATTTCGATCTGGGAAGTCCTTTGGGTTCGACCGAATTCTTCTTCCTCCTCATGTTGGAAAACGAGGAGGCGACCCTCTTCACAAAGCCGTGAGACCCATCTTTCGTGCCCGTGAAACCCATTGTAGATAACCTTCAGGCAAGATCAGATCACCTCTCTGTTTAAGACAAGAACACCGAACTTCGCTTCAGACCCGAGAAGAAACATGAGAACACGCAGCGAGGTTCCAATACAAGAATAACAGTTAGCGTGTATAACCAGGACAGATCCTTGTTTATCAGGAATGTCAACTACTTGAAAACGATGAATGAATTAAAAACGCTGAGATTCTTCGTCTGTGACGTAACAGGTTTGATGTTTTCATTCTTTTGAGTATAAATAAGAAATTGTTTATGATATTAGTTTGAGGAGTACATGTACCATAAAAAAAAAACCTGACAAGCCAAGCACTAAGCTTGCTGGGTTTTAGAACGAGTCAACTCGGAAATCGATCCAATCCCTACCGAAATACAATCGACATGGAGAAATCATTGTCATCGGCGGCAAAATTCGCTGTCGGAGAATATCAGAACCGCGAAACTGTACTGAATCCAGAGAGATTCAGAGAGAGAGAGAGAGAGAGTCACCTTCTTCGATCGAGTAGCGATGAAATTGCAGCAAGAGAGATAGAGTCGCCTTCTTTGATCGACGACGAAATTCCAGCAAGAGAGAGAGAGAGAGAGAGAGAGAGAGAGAGAGAGAGAGAGAGAGCCTTCAGTAGGAGAAGAGGTGTAAACCAGAGGGGTGAAATTAACCACACGCACAAAAAAACGGTTTTTTTTTTTTCTGTCCTTTGAGTGCCTCCTTTTGTTTTTCGCGCCTTCATGGGACCGGGATTGGCTTTATATCTCGGTCTGCCACGTCAGCTTCAACTTCCAAATCATTTTGTAACTTTTCTTTCGTTGCACGCTACATCCTTGTAAGTTTCAAGAGGAAAACACATCCAATAAATAAAATAAAATAATCACGATTTTTCCAAAATTTATATGATCTCATAATTTTAGATTTTAACATTAATATAACTTACTCAACTGATTATTTCGGATTTCGATATGATCACTGGTTCGGTTATTTAATTTTAGAAAAACAATAACAATTGTTTTTTTTATATCGAATTCGATTATGTTTGATTGTTATTGATAAAAAAATTAATCGTTTTTTCAAATAATTTTTCCATGTTACGATTAATTTTTAATTCGATTTGATCTTTTCGATTTTAAAAAATAATAACCATCCGATTTTTATATAATTTAATTATAATTATATATTATTCGATTTAGATCAATTTCGTTATTATTATTAACCAAATTAGTATTTTGTTTTTTTCTTGTGTTTTTCCGAAGGGAGGGAGATGCTGACGTGGCGTGAGGCCGGAATGAGGGCATGGACGTGTCCAAGACAGTAGCAGTGGGCCGAGGGCTTCCTTTCATTTACCACACAAAAGCCCAATTCCTTTTTTCTTCGGTCAACCGACAAAGCCCAATTTCATTTTATCCATGATTACAAAGCCCACCCTTTTCCATTATATACATACATATATATATATATTATTTATTAGGGTCCGATTCATTTCATTTGTGCTAATTCCTTGTGCAAAACGTATACTCGCAGACAATCTTATAATGCTAAGTATGGAATGCTTGATCATTGAACAACTTGTATTTAATAGATTATGGAAATCATAGTATAGTGATTAATATAATAGCAATAATAGCGCCGCTCAACAATAATGCTGACTTGTTTCCCCCACGAAATTATTGAGCGACCATGACAGGCCACGTGGGTCTGTTGGCCTCTTTTTGTCATCTCTCTGAGTTAATATCCAATGAAAATGTGTCCCCGTTTCTTGTGTTGTTACAACTGCTAAACGAGAGACGTAATTACGCATGCATGATGATAAGGGATCATGCCCATACGCACGCAATGCATGCTTGCATATACACACACAACTACACGTTGTATAGCCAGAAATGGGTGGTTTGGTGGTTGTGAAAACATAAAATATTGTCTACACCCCAAATTCGAATCCTAACAATCACATGTTATTAAAAAAAAAAAACTATACATTGTATAAATTCTCAAGTTATGGGTTATATAGTACGACGTAGTTTTGGGTGTGTACACTATATTTATTCGGTTTATTAATTTCATTTATGTGTATTCACCAATGTATATATATTGTATGTACTCCCATAATTGGATTATTCTCTTTGGTGTATATTTATTGCAAATAAATTAATTTTATCTTTTATTACAAAATGGTGCGTTGTGTTTCCTTGGATGTGTGGTCTTCAAAACTTGTAGCCTAAAATTCCACGTGAGTTGGCCATGGAGGCAATGTATAACTTGCACCATATTTCTATTTTTTTTAAAAAATTTTAAGTTAATTTTGATAATTCTAAACATCTCATTCCGTGTTACTATATCACGAAAACCATTTTTTTCCTCCAGAAATTAATGAATCTAGATGATATATTTCACATAAATATGATCCAAAATTATATATGTCTGATTAATTTTTTTATGGTGGTTGTGAAAATTTATTTGTAATAAAACCGCGAATTAATACGTTATTTCCGCTAAATTTATCTCATTTGCTTCAGCCAGCTCATCAAATACTGTCACCGGGCCCCACATTTCCAAAAGACTGAGGAGATGATCACCATGTCCACATTTCGTCATTATCATGATCATCATCATCCGGATTCTCGCGGCTTTTATAAGAAATCAAATCATCTCCCTCGATATCTCTCTACCTCACAGTTCCGATAAGGAATCGATACCTTTTCAGAGAGAGAGAGAGAGAGAGAGAGAACGAGATCCTCGGAAATGGATCACCTTCGCTACGATTCATCAGATCCATGGTCGTGCTCTCTCCAAGAGGTCAGAGAGTCTGAAACATTGGAGGATGTTCAAGAGTTTGATGAAGAATCAGAAGAGGGAATCGACAAGACCTGGGCCGAGATCGCAAGTCGTGGCGAACGAAGCGACGGCGTAGCGTTCCTCGCCGGCGAGAGGATGAAGAAGCTGGAGAAGAAGAAGAGTCAGGTTTTGTTGGAGGGTTACGTGGAGGCCGCGACGGCGGATGACGACGACGATCTGAAGAGGACCAAGAGCTTGACTGACGACCATCTCGAGGAGCTCAAAGGTTGTGTGGATCTAGGGTTCGGCTTCAGCTACGACGAGATCCCTGAGCTCTGCCACACTTTGCCTGCCCTAGAATTGTGCTACTCCATGAGCCAAAAGTTTTTAGACGAGAAGCAAGCCCACCAGAAGTTGCCGGAAAATTCTCCGGCGGAGGAGTCTCCCCCGCCGCCACCGGCAGCAGCCAGCCCGATTGCTAATTGGAAGATCTCTAGCCCTGGTAAAGATGCAATTTTGTAAATTTTGATGAATTTCCCGATTGATTGGGTGCTCGATCTTGGTTTTGCTGTGATTTCATGTCGATTGGCTGAAATTAACCATCTTGATGTCAAGAGTAAATCTGACTTGGGATTCAATACAGTTAGGAAGGATATTTGGGATTTGAAGTCTGATTAGTGCTTCATGTTTGCCTTGATCCAGGTGATCATCCCGATGATGTGAAAGCGAGGCTCAAATACTGGGCACAAGCTGTGGCCTGCACTGTCAAATTGTGCAGCTGAACAAGAAACCCTTCATGTTGAGCCAGAGAAAATCCAATGGAGACGTTGCAGGAATGAAATCTCTGGCATTGCTTAGCCGAGATTAGACCTGCCTTTTTGGTAGGAGTTGAGGAAACTGTCAAGAAAGAATGGCAGGTTTGAGATTAACCGAATACCAATGTGATGATGTCTGACTATGGAGGCGTAGGATCTAGAGTACTATGTATGAATCTGAATAAATGTTTCTGATGAATGAAGAAAACTCGAGTTTCGGTTTCCCGACATTGATGGCTGGTCTGTTTTAATTATGCAGTGGTGAGAGCCTTTGTTATAAAGAGCTTCACCGACTGGTCGTGGAGCTCTGTACTTGCCGAGGTAACTAATCTAACTGGTCCTTTAGCTTGGTCGTGAGTGTGTTGATATGATTCTTACATGTTCTTTCACCATGATCTTGTGGGTAAGGTAACTAATTAACTGACTGAAAGTAACAAAGAGTCTCATGTATGATCATCGGTGAAATGACCATGAGACTGTTAATGAAGTCGACCAGAGGTTTTCTCCAGATGATTACAGTCTAAGCTGAAACATATATTTCAGCTGTGGAATGGAGAAAAGGCGGGCTTTCCATTGATGGCTCATAGAGAACATGTTGGTTCTATGAATCATTACCTCAACAGCTGAATCATAACTCTTCAGTCTTCTACTCATAACCTATATCTACTGAAATAAATCCAGTCTCTTGATGGATCTGCTCGCAAGAACCTGAAACGAACGCAGCTGCAGAGGAATCAGAAGAGAAGAGTCTTCATGTGACTTCTGGATTAGGGTTTCTGCTCATCATTCGAAGAACACAGAGAGAATGGAAAGGACAAGAAATCAGGGCTGTGCCCATACGAATCTATATGGACAGCAGATTTCTCCTTGCACTAAAGATCTAAGCTAAGTTCTAACAACAGATCCCAAGGCTTATGTTGGGCGTATGGCTTAGCCACAACTAAGTGGCAGTGTGGTTACTTCCATGCTCAAATAAGACACTGACTGGATCCATGTTCACTTCAGCTAATCCCCATACAACAATGAACAAGCTCAAGTCCAGTACAAAAGATTGCAATTCCGTCCTGTCCAAAAAAATGATGAAGGCTGTTTGGAAAAAAGTAGTAAGCAATGGGAAAAGAAAAATACTCCAAGAAGCTGAGTTCACTTCAGGGAAGAAAAAAAGTTGAACAGGGCAGGAATAGAGGGAATGGACAATTTAGAAGATGAGTTTATCTTGTTATTTACCCCAAAGTGACGACAATTCATTGATCCATACATCCAGAATCTAAGGAGAAACTTTTACCACTAAGACTATTCTATCCAATATCTACCTCTAGTAAAAAAAAAATAAACTTTTCTCAGATAACAGACATTGTCAGATGATAAACCAGTCGAAATGAAATGGTCAACTAATAAATTTCCTCACCTAGCATTTCTGCACAACTTTGCACCACGAATGAAGTCAATAGTCATGAACTAATTCTGCACAGACTCATGGCTGGATTCAGCTTGCATGTTCCTCTTTCACCACACTTTCAAGCTTACTCTCCTTCATCGCAGATTTCCTTTTTTCTTGAATGTGATGTACAAAAGCGGCAACTATGACATGGAACTTCGGCGGAACCTTGCTTGATGAAGAAACATTCAGACCAGCATCCTTCAAAGCGCGAGCAACATGTTTTTGGGCTTTTAGGAAGTGCATGTTACACAGTGAAGGAACAGTTGACGCAAGTGTTGGCCTGCTACAAGTTATTGGTCCTGATTGAGCTCTGCACGTGCGAATATACAAGCTAAGACTCGGAATAAACTCAATTAAGTAACCATCTAAAGCTACTGCTTTTCTAATCCTATAAAAATTTCAAAGCAAGTCAAATAGCGCAGTTTCAGTAAAATGCTGCAAACACAAGCAAAAGAAAAAACAAGGGATACAACTGATAGCTACAAGAACATAAAACCACATTGAAAGAGGAGAGTAAGAGTTAAGGTTTGGGTTTTTTTTTTCTACCGGTAGATTAACTGTGATGAAAGCTGCTAAGATATTCCTACAAAACCTTGTTTAGGACAGATAATTGGTATAAATTGGTGGAACACACTTATTCATGTTAGGTTGCACACTGATATAGATACAATTCTACGCACAATCCCGTAAACTCGATAGCACACAAGTCAACAAGCTGAAATCTAGTCTATAATAACTATTACTGGCAATAGACTGCTTATACCGCTTTCTCTATATAACTATTCCAATGCAATTACACTAACAATGATCCCATCTCTTCTTGGTTCAATGACAACTTCAACATATCCTAACTATGAAAACGATCCCATTGTTATTAAACAGCAATAGCAATCGGCAAACAGACACTGAAGGAGACAGCCGACATATAGCAATCACCGTAAAGAAATCACACCAAAGTTCCTTTTCCATAAATAGACACCAAGGAACACTAAGTTGGTGTTGGAAGGTAAGGTTCACCTACTGATACCCTTTAAAACTATTCAACAGCGCAAAGGGTCATTCCAAATCCCCTCTGCAATTTTATGAAGATAGCTTCTTGACTCACTACAAGAACGCATCATGGCAAAGAAGTTCCGATTTCTCGCCATTACATAAAACCAGTGCCCAAATATTGCGACTTTCACAGCGTTACAAGCATTTTTGAACCCACCGCAATAATATATATCATAAATCAAAGCGCCAAACCAAAATAAGATTGTGAAAAAGGGATATCGACGCAAACCTTTTGATGACGTACTCACAAGCCTTGTAGAGCTTCTGCTTCTTGTCATTGATAATATGCAGGTGACAGTAGTTCGTGAGTGCCATGGCCTTAAACTTACAACCCCCGTACGAGCACCGAGAATTGCCCTTTGTATAGAGATCACTCGTAACGCCATTACTCCCACCATTGTTATTGACGTTATCTCCACTGCCTTCGACGGCATCACCGTCACCATTCTCTCCCTCGAGCTCCATCCTGGGTCTCTTGTTGTTCTGTTCGTCTTTGAAAGGACTAACACCGAACCTCCAGTAGTACTCCCTGTACTGCGCCTTCAGATCCTCCATTAGAGCCCAATAATGGTCTCTATAGACCTTGGATAGCTGCTTCAGGTGGTGTGATCGGCGCCGGAGAAGCTCCGTGCGGGTGAGGTGAGAGGAGCGCGCGAGGATCTGATCCTCCCGCGGCATCGAAATCGGTGAATTAGCCATCGACGGTGAGACGTTTGTGCTAGGGTTAGGGTTAGGGTTCGGAATTTGGGAGTCTGCAGCAGCAGCAATGGCGGCGGCGGAAGATGGATACCTTGGGGGTTTAGAAGCACAAGGATGTTGCAGAGGCTGCTTTGGAGCTGACGCCATCGTCAATGGTCGAACGAGAGATCAGAGAGAGAGAAATATGGAAAGGAACCTCGTATCATTCCCATTAAGTGTCAGAGATTTCTCATTAGATTTTACTATTTTATTTTTTCCAATTCTGAAGTGGAATCTTCTTTGGTGGAACTCCGAATATAAGGAATCTTTTATAGAAATTTTCTAAGAAAATAATTTCTTCGTAAAGCCCAACAATACATTGGCCCAATTTAAGTTGGCCCAAATCTAAACCAAATATGCCCTGGTACACGTGAAATGCCGAACGAACCGGAAATGATAAGAAACCAAAAATTAAACCGGAATCGAATTAGGTTAACCGGGAGAAGGCTGCCACTTCAGCTAATGCAGGACCCACTCCGCGTTCCAGCTTGTCATCACCTTCCGCTTTTGCTCGCTCCCCCCCCCAGTTCA